ACAAATATTATACATTGAACGTGCATACAGTTCAGAGACAAGAAGATGAATTTCTGAAAAGTTTCCTCCCATGGAATGCTGAATATTGACAGAGTCTGGTTATGTATACATCTTTTACGCTGGCATTCTAATAGTACACATAAAACAGTAAATGTAATTTTCCCTATTATATTTATTTAACCCACGGGAAACGGTAACTTCTTTTGTGCTATTCACTCCCTCCTTAAGACACGATGCAGTGTATCTGCAGTAAACCCGTATCTCATCCATTTAATGGAAATTGAAACTGACAGATTTATACCCAACTGCCGCTCCACTCTTTGAGCTAAAACAAATACGTTCTGAAGCTTGGGGATGAAGTATAGATATGTAGCGAGTAATAAATATGAGTGCTTATTACCTATCGTCCCAAACCTTTTAGAGAAAAGCATTTAAATTAGAATGGGACCGCTGTACAAGTCTGCCTCGGTTTGATGAATGGAAACCGGCAGAATTATGAAGAGACAGAGAGAAGTAAAGTTAGAGGGGCCGATTATTCAGAGATGCTGAATTTAAGGGAACAACGAAAGCAAATATTTCTACCGCTTCAAGTTCTGAAGGTTCCCATGCAGTGCCCAGTAGTCTGGTAGTGGTAAGTTTGAGAGAAGGTAAAGCTTTAGCAAATGAAAAGGTAAAGTTTCAGGATATGAACTTCGTTTTGAGTAGAGCAGAGAAGTTTATTACCTTCCATTACAATTAATTTTGATGTCATCCTTGGTACGGCGGCATTGATTTATCTAAACAATACGTAAAAATGAAGTTCGTACCTCACAGAAAACAGGCACTGCCTCCATTGCTAGAACCAATTGGTTAATGCTGTAGGCCTACACGGATATATTGCCTCATGATCTGAGAACCATATGAAAGACGTAAAATATATTCTGAAAAGTTAGCAGCGTTTTATGCCTAAGATGATACTGTAATATGTATAGCTAGGCAACGGCGAGATAAATACCTTCTCGCTTAAGGTCACGCAACAGTAGGATTAATGTTTATATCCCGTTGCTAGGCAACAGTCAGCGCTCCAATTGAATGGTGAGATAGTATTCACGTGACTTGTTTTCAGTGTGATCTGCGCTGCGCAACAATAGAACTGTGTTTTCTGTGCGTGGTCCGTGCCGAGAGGATATGATAGAATACGGGAGTGGGAATTGACTGGACTTGAATTCGGAAGTTCCAGGGGAACAGTAGTGTGGCCAGAAGAAGATTAAGAAGACTTAGTGTGTGAGGCTACATGTGCTGTAATACAGTGATATTGGAACTGTAAAAATTAATTATAATCAACGACTAGTGACGATCCAGTAAACCGATTTACCAATCAAAACGCGCATCCTAGTCACTGAAACACTTGAAAATAGGTAAAGTAACCCTGCTGTGTTTAAGAGTTAAATTTGGCGAAAAATTAGAAGGAAATATGTTAGACCAGCGGTTTAGAAACGTGCTTACCTCAAGTTGCTAACGAAGGGCAGAAGAGAATGTACCGGGGCGCCCCAAGTGTTAGTCTAGGGAACTATTAGATTTCCTGATAGCATTACGCATTCCTGTTCATGGGTTCATCAGAGCCTTTTCAGAGATTCAATTTGAAGCCAGGCAGTAATTTTCCCATCCCTGTACTGTTTACAGCTTCGAGTTACCGCTCTTTAATAAACCGCGTGTGGCGTTGCTGTAATGAACCAACCAAAATGTTATTTAAAATGAATGTAGTAGAGGAACGTTATCGCCTCATGAGGGGCCCGGGACTTGTTTCTGGAAGCCGCTTCTTTGACTCTGTTTTCTCTAAGGATTCCCCCACTCGACTTGTAAACACGCTAATGAAACTTTGCCTTCCCAGAGATGCATAGAATTTGGTAAGAAAGGGAGCAGCTTTGGCGTCCCGAGAAAGACTGCTCCATGGACTTAGTTACTGATCCATGAAAAGTCTTCCCTAATCTCTTCTTACATCAGTTTCATGAAGTACAGTAAATTCCAAAATCTTTACCGTCACTCAGCTGGTCAAGAGATCCCATACAATTTCTGGAACCGGAAACTCATAGCGCACCGCTGTTCCATGTCCTGAGTGAATTAGTTTTGTTTCTGCCTTTGCCCTTGCTTACTTCATAACTTGAGTTTTAATTTCTGAATCACCTAAATGAAAAAGGAAATTTTAATTGAATTGTTACTGTTGTTACTACCACTAATACCTCTAACGCGGACACTGGTAATACTCTTGCTGTAGCTATTACCACTAGCACTACAACTAAGGATATTATTAAAGAAGAAGAACGAAAGGGAACTTTGGCTTATGTTCTGTTCATGTGAACTGAAACAGATATTACATATTTTTCAGTCAATTTATTAGATATCTGGCAACGCAGTAGAATTTGTGACAGAGAGAGGCACGTGTATGTAGACCTCATTCAGTGTACACCTATGAATAAAACATTTCTCAAAACAATTTCATAATTGCTGTTTCTTTAATAATTTATAATATGTTATTTAACCGTTTGAAAATTAAAATTTATTTCGGTGACATTTAATGGTTCCTTTTTCATGAAACACACACCGGTTCTTCGCCAAAATAATCAACCAGTTAATGTGGTTGAGAGAAATATTGGCTGTATACGACAGACGTACAAGCCAATGCACAGTGTGGGCAGAAAGCAGAGTTTCGAATAACAGTGTACCTGGTGTATAGAGTAACCACTGTGCTTTTAGGAGCAGTTGAAATAAATGCCGCTTTTGCATAGGAACATATTCAGCAAACGGTTTCGGAAAGTGAGGGAGGCTGCTCGCACTGTACCACATGCATTTCCATGCAGATGTCGCGACAAGCGTGTCTGCTTGTGTCGCTAGTTTTGACAGGGCTTCAGCGCTTGTGACGTCGGAGGTACTGGTTGTGACACTTGGGACATGGGTTTTACTGCATCTGTGAATATGTTTTCGAATATACGTGAGACAGTATTTATGGGGTTTGGTATATTGGTTTTCTTGTGTCGAGACATTGTTTTACGGTTTGCGTTTTGTGATAGTTATCTGTAGGACTGAGGTTCTGTTGTATGGTTTTCTGTCCTGTGCATGCCTGTTGCTTGGGGAGTCGGGTTTAGTCATAGTAGCAGTACGTCTGTATTGTTGCTAACTTCGGTCCTGAATTCGGGTGATTTGTTATTGACACATCGAGGTGCTGCTGCGTGTCTTATAAGACGGGTTTTGGATTGGATGGTTGGATTGATTGCACCATACACATGCACAGCTCGGGGCTACAGGCAATATAGTGGTATCGCTGATGTACACACTTTGCAGTTCACCGTTACACGCGCACTAGGATTCTTTGTCTTCACTAGTCCTATCCTGGCAACGAATTTATAACAGTCTCACTGTCACTTCAAATGACACATGGAGTCTTATTTGCACAGCCTAATTCCTTTCTTGTAATTATTCTGCAACTGCCAACTCATTTCAGTTCCAGGCTCAACTACCGGAAGGTTGGGGTCGCGAAGTCGACTCTCTTCTCTTTACCTTATGCTGCTCAACACTTCTTTATTTCGTCACGGTATTATAAGAGTCTGCAGAATATCTGCGCCGGACGGTGAGCTTGGTTAGGAATGTTAACTTCTGTGTAATTGTATTCGTGTATACAAATATATCTGCTTGTTAAGTCCGTCCAGAAGGTAAAAGTGCGTAAATTGCTTTGAAATGTAACACAAGCCTGAGGTTTAGAGTTCTCGTGGTACTAAACATTTAAAATTAATTCATGCTTATATTTGCAGAGCTCTGTTGAAATGTTTCAGTAATATAAGCAGACTTCTGTCTTGATAGTCTGCATTATTAATACATATTTGTTTTCTCCATGTTTGAGGGCGAAGAGGGAAGGCATTGAAATAAAGTACCGGTAAAAGTGTTCAGTGCAACATGCGTAACTCTACATAATGGTACACGGGTTGTATATTTGAGGGGGTGTAGGCGCTACAGGAAACTGTCAAGGTCAAGTGTATTGTAGTGTAAATGTTTGATGCGCGTTACTAACAGTAATGAATGTCTCTGCAATTATACCACTGTCTCTCACCAGTGTGTCTGTTTGTCTGTCCTCGTCAGTACGTCCGGCGCTCCCACGCACCCAAATCTTGCATCTGCGTATGCTCTATGTATCACGGGTCTGGATGAAAGGTATCCAAAATAAAAAATCATATCTCGGAAAGTAATTGTCATACACGTATCGGGTTGATGTCATCAGAAAAAGGTAAAGTCTGAAAGTTTTTTTTTTGCATGCCCAGCTTATGCGCACGCGCCGCCACATTTCTGCCGCCATGTTAGGAATCACCTGGACAGGGAAATGGCTGGGATATGAATTGGCAGAGGTTAACCAATCGCTTGGCCTCCTAGGTCACCAGATTTAACCCCAGTGGATTTTTTCTTGTGGGGTTATGTGAAGAACATTTTCTACCAGGTTGAGATCAACGAGCTTCACCACCTGAAAGCCCGCATAAGGGGCGCTGTGGCTACGGTAACACCAAACACGCTTCAAGCCTGGATATTTATCATGCCACCAAGGGAGCCCACATTTAAATTTACTGGGAAAGTTATATGCGCAGAATCCCGATGAGGTGGATTTTTTCAATTCACCTAATCCTTGCAGCCGCACTATGGTTCTGGGGTCGACTCAGCTTCTAACAGAAATGAGTACCAGGAATATTCTTGGGGGGTAAAGCGCGGCCGGCGCGTAAGGCTGACAGCCTTGCCACCATCTATGAGCCGATTGTCTAGATAATGTGGGACCTTCAACGTCTCACAACCCTACGGGCCTCCATGGCCTGTTACAGGGATAGCTTTACTTTTTTAGGCTGTTTGCTGTTATCACCGCCGTTAGTAATGAAATTCATCATCATCATCATCATCAACGTCTTGCACCTTGCTATATCTGCAGTATAAGTTAGTGCTTGTGTAGCTAATCAGATCGACTCATTAACGCAAGTTTTATTTTTCAGGATTGCCGTTGGCTCAGCTGGATGATAACGGTGAGGGTAAGTTTGGGAAATATTTATTGAACAATATTAACAAACGCCATGCTAATGTCAGTGCCACCAACCTACAGTGCTGTTGAACTGTTGCCACTATCGATGTGGTAGCCGCCACAATAAAGAAAAGGCATTAACACGAATTTTAATCAGGTTATGTAAACTTAATTGTGCCTTATAAAAAGTGAAAGAAGAACAAGGAACAGAAAGCAACACTAGATACACACAACTGTAACCGGACCACTGCCGCGCACTAGTTTAGGTATAATTAAAATCATTAGCACAAAAGAATTAATTACCAGTGGCATGTAATAGCCAAGCCAGTGGGACATAGTCACCCTTTTGCTTGCAGGAATCGATTTATTCCCAGTCTTACTGCTTCACGGGAAGAACCCCTGTGGCTTTTTCTGAGAAATTTTGCTTAGAAGTAACACAGCCGTAAACTCTGAGTAACTTAAAAGTAACTTAAAAGTAGGCGTACTGGATACCCATGCTACCCGTAGTGTCCATCACTGCGCTATTAAAATCGATGTTAGTGCTTTAAGGGCCTAATTCCCATCCTGGGGCTAGGTGACTGGACATCGGGAACTTGTAGTAAACTCCCATTTTGAATATATCCACTCGGTAGAATTTAGGGTAGTGACATACAATATCAGACAGAGTAGATTAGGAAGAGAGGAACTCAGGGTTTTGAGTGAAGTCAGTCTCGCAGTTCAGTTGTCTGCCAACCCGTAAACTGTTCATACGCAAAATTTGTATCATTGCTGTCCTATTTAAAAGTTAAAATGTCCACTGGAACTATTCTCATAACTTCTAGTGTACTACGACTAAAGTGAGCTAAGTGCTTATATATATAAACTGTGTATTCTATCCAGTGCATAAACGTATCAATAATTGGTTACAGCGCTTAAGTGTCGTGTCTGTAGCAGAGGGTTCATCTCCCTCTGCCAACGGCTGAACTGGCGAAGCTTCTTCACCTCTACTCTTTGCCTACCACAAGCCGCAATATTGCAAGCCACAGCAGCAGTATCTTACTGGCGCCCAAACAGGGACAAGGAGAGTACGTGGGTTAAGCTGACGGGCGTAAGCAAGGAGAAAGTGGCTCCCAACCCTTGGCAAAAGTGTACCGGGGGCGGGGGGCGGGGCGGTAAGACAATTAAGAGAGCGCCACTCCGAATCGAACACGAAAACAGCCCCAATATGTAAGACAGGAAGAAAGACATCGTATAAAATCATCCTACAACATCAGAATTAAAAAAGTCAATAAAAACAACATTGACGTGCCTTAATGAATACCGTTTGACCAAGAGCATAGTGAAGTGGACTCCTTTAAAAATGTGTGTTGCCTGAAACATGTAGCATGAATACCAGATGTAGAGATATTTTAATAATTTTAATGACATTTTAAACATTTGACGAGCATTAAGTGTGAATTAATGCTGTGAAATTAATATTGTTACATTATAGTAGGAAAACTAGGCTATAAGTGAAAGAGAGTTTGGAATTCCGATAACTGAATTTAGAATCTGCACAGTAAATGTAATAGTCACTAAACCACGGCAATACAAATGTTGCTCCTTGTGTTGAGATATACAATTTACGTGCTGTACATCCTCAAGCAGAAGATCAGTCAGAATTACTGAGTGTTTGGACGTTGTTCATAGTCAGGTATTTTGGAAACTAGAAAATAGGACGTTTCGGAAACTGGATCCGTTTACGTCCTCAGTGATTGAGGTTAGCTCTTTGTGAGGAACCCAACTGAGTGGGTAACTTCGCCGCCTCCTCTCCTGAGGACGGAAACAGATGCAGTTTCCGAAACGTTGTTTTCTAGTTTCTAGAATACCGGTCGATCGACAAAGTCCGAAAACCCCATAATTCTGAGTGTTATACACCAGCGTCAGAACCCTTTAGAAGGTTCTAGAAGGCCAGTGTTTGGAACACTTTAGGTTCTCTTTAGGTTATCTCAGCAACTCCACAGCCCCAAGCGGCTGTTCATTTGAAATTTGATAAGAAACCTCCATGTGGAAGCGCGCCTTCCCTTCTTAACTCACTTCTGGTGATTGGTTACAGTCTCCAGGATGTTCTGCGCACTTTGGTAGATAAATAGGTCTAACAGCGTTTCGGAGGAATCAGCTTTTTTCATCTTCATGGTAGAAGAGAGGAAGGGATGGTTCTGAAGCTTTAGGCATCGCGATGCCCCGAAAGGTTCGTGCCCCTGTACCAAACCATGCAGTTCGACATCCCAGAAGGCTTTAGTAGTCGTCGATTCGTAATTTCTATACGCAGAAAATCCGACCTTTCCGGTCTCCATATCTTAAATGGAAATTGCACTCACGTTCATTTCTGAATTTTACATTTTCTAAACTACTGTTGGGAATTCCCTGTATTGTAGCTTTCCTGTTACTGAAATCGATTTTTGTGTGAAGTCAGCTTGTCTGGAGCCGGCCCTGCATGTCTGTTTGTGGTGAACATCGCTCTGTAGCGGCGACTTATGATGTTTGTAAATTGTCTCCTTGCTTATACAAGTTTGAGGTTTGCAAAACACTGCATCCATTTGTTTATTTCGTATTCTCCAAACATAAATGATGTTTCGCTGTTCGAATACGATGTAAAATTCTTCTTAATCGCCTAAGGGGAAACTTTTTGTTGTTTCTCTTGTGGTAATCATACGGCAATCGAACAAAAGCACAAATGTAAACATTTTCCTACAGCACACGAGATCCATTATTAAGTTATGCAGTGAATGGAAACTTTCATCATTCAATATCGCAGCTTCCAGCAAGTTTATTATTATTATAATTCAATTATAATTCGATTACGTCAGCTGATGCCACAAGCTGGAACGCATCCAGCAGAGGTTTGCGGCCCTTCCTTTTAATCGTTTCTATCCTCAAGCTCATTACAGTCACTCTCTTGCTCTGGAGCAGTTACAATTGCATACTTTACGTACTGGGAGACATCGCCTCGTTGCGCTCTTACTTATTCAAGTTTACTTTGGTTTGAAATTCTGCCCTTGTGTTCTGGGAATTGTTGGTCTTCGATTTCCTGTTCGGTATATCAGAAACTTTGCGTCGTTCAAAGTTTGCTCCTCGTGTAAAAATTGTCCCTCTGCTGGACGTGCAGCAGCTGCTAATGTTGTCTGCAGGGATGTTGACGTATTGGGAGCCAGGAACATTTTCCTCAGTCGTTCTTTATAATATCCTATAATTGTTATTATTATTTGCACGAACGTAAACTAGAATTAAACTGAATTATTATTATTATCCTCTTTAAATACCTATACTTTTGATTTTACAATTACGTTTCATTTCTCAGCTCTCGATAACAACTTAGATTTATGTTAATGAAATTTTATTATTATTATTATTGTTTATTTACTTGTCTGCATTAATGTATTTTTCCTCCAGTGCTTGCCTGTAATTTGTCTTTGACTTTATGTTGTGTTTGTCCATAATGTAATTACCTTTATCTACACTGTGCTCTGTCTGTAATTGGCCTTGCGGCTGTTGACTCAGCACGTAAATAATAAAGAAGTGAATTAATCTCAGTGGGGTGGGACTAAGTCCCTTGTACTGCGGCCACTTCTGGCCTATTGTACGAGCTCCAGATGATAGGTGACGGTGATCGTGGAGCAGTTGGTGGAATGAAGATTGGCAAGGGAAACCGAAGTACTCAGATGAAAACTGCCCAGCGCTACTCTGTCCACCACAAATCCAACATAGCCAGACCGGGGCTTGAACCCGGGCCGCCGCGGTGGGAAACCGGCGACTACCCGATTGAGCTAATGGCTCGGCCTCTTGCAGCAAATATGTATGTTAAACACCTAACAGAATTCTGTAGATCTCTGGTAAAACATTTCGAATTTTGGGGGTAAGTGGTGAATGAAATTTGGAAAATTAAGTATATAAATAAATTCAATGAAAAAAAAATATAATATTAACTGACTTTGTTCGTGCATCCTTCTATTGTCAAAACACGTTTCTGAACGTCATTGATCCAGTGTTTCAGGCGAAACAGCCGCAGTTGGGCGATTACAAGGATATAAAGTCGAAGTTTCGTGTTACCGTCCTTTATTGTAGGACATCTCCTTTAAAACTACTTCTTGAAGGAAGTAAAGACCACGGCGACTTGTTTCTATATTACGAAACAAAGGCGGTTTGAAATTAAGAAACAACTGTTTTCACACGAATCTGTTTGCGGCGGGCTGTAATATGCGCCTACATTGGATTTGACCTTGTAAACCTGTCCGCCCTTCGCCGTCTGCTTAATGTAAACCCGAGCACGTTTCGAAATTGATTTACAGAATTTTAACTGGGCTTGGTGCAGAAATGACATCAGATTTTCTATTAATCCTTTTCTTCATTACACACTGAGAATATTTCGCGATGTGAAGATTGCCGTCTTCTGGGATGTGGCGCCGTGAAGATCTTATTGTGAACCGACGTTTCGGAGGCTGCAGTCTGCAGCCATTTGCATTCGCTAGTTCCTCGCTCGCGGATTATTCTACCCTGAAGATGTAGGCGATACGTTTCTCCGCAACGTCGGTTCACAAAATCTGCACCACATCCCAGAAGACAGCATTCTTCATAGTCACCGCCGTGAAAACCTCAAGTTTTATATCTCGTGACGTGTTCAAGTTGCCAGTTTTCATGTATGCCTGGATATAAGTTTTAAATCACAGTAGCCAACATTGCGAAGCATTGTCGCCTTGTAATTAATTAATCACGTGAACACAGTGGTTTACTATTATTATCACACGACTTTATGTTTATACATCTCAGAAATTTGCCCACAGAGTGTATTCATATGCTTAGTGTGATTCTAAAAATAAGCAACTATTATATCCCCAACAACCAGCAGAATTAGTAGGTTGGTATTTGTAATGGAGAAGCAATGTATTTCTTGTAAAGTAGGAACATAATTTGTAAATGTTACGTAAATGGAATCCTTGCTTAAAGGCGTTAAAGAATCGTGGAGATATTATTGACCTCTACTGACTGCCTCCT